GTGACTCAGGGGCTGTAAATGCAGTGTTTCCCTACCATCAGCTGCATGCATAAGGAGAAACATGTTCAAATCCTTCTTTCACCCAGCCTTCGGAGAGCACCCTCCTCCCTTGGTGCAGAGCAGTGTGAATCCCTCTCCAGGAAATGGCTTTGGAATGACTGCTGCATCTTGAGCCCTCTCCGGTGGCTGTTCAATTAGCTGAGTTATTTTTAGTGCCTTCTGCTGTCTTTGTGTGTGCCTGTGCGTGTGTGTGTATGTGTATTTTGGCTCATCCATGGCTGAGGATCTCAGCTATGAAACAGTTGTCAGTGCTTACTCCAGGAATGTGGCCAGGACAGTATGTACAACTGGAACAAGTTAAAAAGAAGGGAAAATATCCCCCAAAATTGGTTGGAAAAGCTTGTTCTATAATTTTATTGCTAGAGCACGGGGCCTGGAGATGTCTTGACTCTAGCTCAGCAAAATCCAAGCATAAAACCCGTTTGAATGTAGAAGATGAACACACTGAGCTTCAGAGCATTCCCACCTTTCTTTTAATGCATAAGAAGGAGAAAACATCAAAGCAGCCTTAGAGGACAGGTGACAAACTGTTGAGTTCAGAAGTGCTGGAGTTAGTGTCATCTGCCAGTGGCCTTCCAGAGTCTTGGCTATGGGCTTCTTAAGATGTTCTCTTCAGAAAGGGATGCGTGGCGGCTGGAAAAAAAGCTTCCTGCTTACAATGCTGGCCTCTTGAGGCATCACTGCAGCTGTAGATGTTGGTAGCAGCATCAGCAAAAAAGCCAAAGGTGCTGCTGCCCACCAAGTCACCTGGGAGTCAGATTCAAGGCAGGATGCTGTGCATGGATTCTCTTGGTGGCTGTACTGTGTCTGGATGCATGTTTCATTTTACTTTAAGGGGCTGTCATTTCCCTCGCCTAAAGATCATGGCAGTGTGTAGCTCTGCTGAATTCCTGGGCTCATCTTTTCTAATAGCAATTCAGTGGTCTGATTCTCAGTTGTGCTAATGCTCCATTAGATATCTAAGGGATAAGGATCCCCAGCCTCAGCCCTACTAAACTCAAAATTTAAGTTCATGCAGGAGGAAGATACCTGCTGAGAAATGACAGTGGCCCCTCCCCATGTTCCAAAAGCAAAACACCCTTTCCCTATTGACTCTAGAGTCCTGCAGTTGTCAGTTGTGGTATGAATTTAAAAGCATCAGTTAATACCTCCAGTGCTTGTAAAAGTACAGTGTTTAGGATAAGTGTCTCTTTACCAAACACCATCAGGGCAGATGTGCAGCGTCTCAGAGATACTTGGTTCTCCAAGTACCACTGGACTCAGTGCAACTGAGGCACTTTGACACCTTTGCAGTGTTAGCTTGCACTTCCTATCCCCAAGTGAAAATGAAATCTTACTCCTGAAAGATTCCTTGTACCCGAGATCCTGAGGGAGTCTTCCCCTCACTGTGGAAACAATATCCCAGAGCACTTCCCTCCAATAAACGTTATGGTCTGTCCCATTATTTGTACTGTTCTGTCACACCCCTACCTGCCTGGAGCCTTTGTCTCCACACAGAATGAGCTGACAATGCAGAAACTCCCCTGCCCACCCCCTGGCAGTGCAGTCTCTGCAGCACAGGGCACAGCTGTACTGTCTGAGGGATGCTGTAGCACATCGCCTCATCAGGCGAGCTTCCGTGTGCCCGTTAGAGATGTATAATCCATGACAGGGAACAACTTCCCAGCTACCTCTGTGAGACCTCGGAACAGTGGGCGGCAGACAGGGATGCCAGAGCCTTGCAGCAACTTTCCTGCACAGCTCACCAGGGTGAAGCGTTTCCTTTCATGTGAGCCTGAGTGGCGTCAACTGGAATTTTGCTCAAGGGCCTGAAGTCTCCCCTGTGACCCCTCCTCCTCACTACATACCACATTGGAGTGGATAAATTTTGACTGTGGCTTGCCAAGCTCTTCTGTACTGGAAATGCTCCTTGCTTGTCTGCAGACAGATGCTGTGCTGTCAGCTCCAAAACCTGTGTGTGTGTTTGCCTCCTTCCTTCCTCCTTAGCACCCTCCCTAAAACACAAAACAGATTGAAAGACATAGCAATCTGCCAGACCATTATATGTGAGAAAGCAACCTTTCCCTCTTTTTACAGAGTCTGGTGATTATAAGTACATGAGAGTCATGAGGTTTTCCCACAGGTAAAGGAGCATAAAGTTCCCATCAGTTCTAGGGCGGTAGCTGATAATTATGGGCTATTGGATTTACACTATGATGCTAGGCAACAGGGTTTGGAATTAGAGTCATGCAGAAGCTCACTTTTTTTTTTCACCCCACTGCCAAAGATTGTTACATCCTAGACTTAAAGTGGATTTTATTCTCCTTAAATTCTAATTAGGTCAGAGTTCCCTGCGCTGCCTTTAGGTGCAGTTCTTTCTAGTGCCTAATCAGCTCTTGTGAAAGCAGGGTAATCCTCTCCATAGACTCTTAAGGCAGACACAACTGGCTATGCTCCATGCCAACCTCTTGGTGCTGACTAGCTGTCCAGATTAAGAGATGTACGATTTATAGATAGTTCAAAGCTGTCAGCATTCACTTCCAAGGAACTAGGGAAGGGTAGGCTCCAGGTTACACAAGGGAAATAGGCAGTGAATGTGAGGATGCAATAACCTCTGGCCCTGTCAAAGAATGGGAGGCAGTTTTCCCACCAGCCTGTTGCCCTACACATGCCTTGGGAGGAAATACCAGGATCTGCAGCACTACCTTGTCATATTTACACATCAAGGCTCTTTCCCATGCAATTCCCTCTCTCTGTGTGATCAGAAAGATAAGAAAAGCGAAAGGATGCAAGTGAAAGTGCTGCTGTTACAGGATTACTCTGGCTGAGCCCCTTAAGTGCATCTTCAGCAGCACCAGATATTTTCCAGCTCAGATGTAACATCAACATTGCCCTCATCAGTACTACTCCAGATAGCGCTGTGTTGAGCTTCAGTAAGTCCTAAGCTTTCCTGTCTGCCATAAATCACTGTAGCGACGTCACAGGAATCCTCCAGCAGGAGCAGCTTGCAGGGGAGATGTAGCAAGCCAGGAAGCCTTTCCTGCACCAAGCTGTGATGAGTCAGTGAGGCAGAAGGCAGATGTCATGGGTGGAGGGTAGTGATGGAGTTCAGGGGGAAGGAGGTGAAAGTGGGGAGTGCTTCCAAGCTGCCTATTCTCCACAGGGATGGGTGGACCACCTGCATTTTCTGACAGCACTTGGGAGGGGTCCAGGTGCATCAAGCTACCACAGTAAGAG